TAGGTAAATATGGGTAAATATACCGGTATTATCGTATACCGGTATGACGTCATACCGGTATATCTGCATTTCGGTTTGCATAAAGGTTTTCATACCATTACCCAAAAATATCGGTAAAATACCGGTATTTTGCATACCGGTATAAGTCCCTGCTCCTGGCTAAAGGGTTATAGATATAGTTAGTTATTTATTTCACAAGAACGTCAGACGTAAGTTCTCATCGACTAATTAAATTTTACGTTGTTATTTTAGTTGATCTTGTGTATTATTCTAATATATTGTTCATAAATATATATAAATACATAAAAATATATGTAATTATTTGGTTTTTATATGGATAATCTTTTTAAAGTGAAAAAGAAATATTTGCAGTGTTTTTATTCTTACCTGAATGTTGGAACATCTTACATAATATAAATTTGCGCAGACGTAATCATCCCACAAATTACAGAACTTCTTAACTTTTATCTTATTAGAAATGACATCATGAGTGCAATAAGTGGTAACGTTATAATAATGAATTTGTTTTTGTGAAGATGAGAGTGAAATTAACCATCTCAAGCGTAGTATATGTGGTACTTGAAGGGTATCAATTTCAATAACTTCCAGATTTGCTATTGTAGGTCGAGCTGTTGAATTGATTTTGTAAGTTGTTTTGAATACACAGTTTTACAATAAAGAATGTAAAAAATAAATACAATATCAAATATACCTGTAGATGGCGTTCTGAAGTAAAGTTCTTGATAAGCGGAGAAATTCTCCGTTTTCTTATATTCTCTTATTACATAAACAGTTGCTCGATACTGCTCGTCACTAAGTAGTGGTGGATTTATTATATTTAAGTCAAGATACCAGCGCGATGTAAATTCGATTGTACTGAAATGTTTTACAGCAGCGCTAACTCCGCTAATTTGTATTTTATCTCTTAATGGTCCCGAGATCGTCGAGCAATCTTTAGGTGGCTGCCATGATAATGTCCAATTCTGTGCTTTCAGTTCTGTAAACACTTCCGTTGGTATGTCTACAAAGATAGCAACTAGTATAGTTTATTCAAACACAGTGTTATATACATGTATACGTGTCATTAGTTTGCCATTATATTAAAGTCAATAATAAGTATATGTGAGACATAACAATATTTTATTTGTACCAGATTTATTTGTATCAAAAGTTATCTCCGCACTATTAGTGTTTTGAACTTTATGTGCTGTCACTTGTGCTGTATAAGACGCATATGGATGTAAGTTTGAGAATATGATTTCTGCTTTGGTTGTAACGTATTTCATAGGTGCAACAATTGGTGTAGGTAAATTTAAATCTTCACAACCATAGTATAAAATAATCTAGAAAGATAAAACATATGATCACAGTAAATACTGTTTTTGTTATTGTAATAATGTAAATAGTAGTGTAATAGTGTAATCAAATATTTATTTGTTTGTAAAAAAGTCGGTAAAGGTAACTTTATTTTACTAAAATCAAAATCTCAGTCTTAGCGCTTATACTATCTACGACGTAGGATAAGCTCGGATAAAATAGCCATAGTTTGTTTAAATACAAAAATCAGATTTTGATTTCTGTTATTTTTTAATATTGTTTTGTTATTTCAATTTACTGACGCTTAGTAATAATAATAGTAATTAAAGTAATAATAATTATTGTAAAGATAAAACACTTAACAGAAATTTAATATTATCAAAAAATTAAAATGTATGCTTTGGCCATCTTAACTTTTAGAAAACAGAGGGCCATACTATTACAGGACAGTTGGCCATACATGTTTTTTTGTAAAAGATACAAGTAAACTTATAAGTATGTAATATATTTAATTACATAATAAGTTTTTATATGTTAAATACAATATATTTATTGTACGTAAAAAATTATTACATATTGTTAATAATGTTTTTATGCACGGTAGTTTTTTAATTATAAAATGCAACGATTAGATAACTTTAAATTAAACTGAAATAACTTTAAAATAAAAACAATTAGCAAAAATATGTTTATTTCAATGAGTAAATACGTTGTAGATTATACTACTAGTTATACAAAAATTATTTATAAACCCAGCAAACAATTTCTGACTGCGCAGACCTTAGCAACAGAAACTGTGTGCAGAAACGCTACAGTACGGAAACATGCTTTGGTGCTGCCAAAACTGTTAGCACATAGAAACAAAAAACGCAACAACTCTGGTGGCACATACATGAGACTATTGTGGCCAAAATGATTCCATATATGTTAGTGAAATTGATAACAAATAGATGGTCAATAGCAAGCAGATCTGCTTTAGCAATGCTGTGACCAAATAGTCCGCAAAACCGTATGAGCATCTGTTTATGACAAAACGTTGATCGCAGTCGGGTCGATCTGTTGAACGCATTGACGACAGATTGCCACCAAACGCCAAGCAGATCTGTTCGTGCATACGTGCGGACTGTTTGCACGCAAGACTACTAAA